CTTGAGTATGGAGTATACGTAAGTGAAATTGTCAGTCATAAGGTAACTCTATTTTTAATACTTTAAGAAACTGCCAGACTTTTCCAAAAGCAGCTGTATCATTTTACGTTTCCACCAGCAATGTACAGAAATCCAATTTCCCTACATCCTCAACAATATGTATTATTTTCTTTTTTATTATACTGATCCCCATGGGTGTAAAGAGGTATCTCATTGTGGTTTTATTTCTCTAATTAATGTTACTGATCAGCTTTCATGTCACTATTAGACATCTCTACATCTTCATAAATGTCTACTCAAATCCTTTGCCCATTTTGTAATTATTTTTTACTAATGTTTTAAGAGTTAAAAAAATTAAATATTCTAGATATAAATTCCTTATCAGATACATAATACACAAATATTTTCTCTCAATCTGTGGATTGTCTTTTCCCAATTTTTTTTTTTTCCTTTTGAGACAAGGTCTCCATCTGTCACCAAGGCTGGAGTTAAGTGGCTTGATTACGCTCACTGTGAGACTTGACCTGCTGGACTCAAGTGATCCTCCCACCTTAGCCTCCCTAGTAGCTGGGACTACAGGTGCACACCACCACACCCCGCTAATTTTTGTGATTTTTTTGCAGAGATGGGATCTTCTTATGTTGCCCAGGCAGGTCTTAAACTCTTGGGCTCAAGTGATCCTCCCGCCACAGCCTCTCAAAAGTGTTGGGATTATAGGTGTGAGCCACTGCACCAGGCCTTTTTCCATTCTTTCTTTTTTTTTTTTTTTTTGAGGCAGAGTCTTACTCTTTTGCCCAGGCTAAAGTGTGGTGGTGTGATCTCGGCTCATTGCAACCTCCGCCTCCCAGGTTCAAGTAATTCTCCTACCTCAGCCTCCCAAGTAGCTGGGATTACAGGCACCCAGCACTGCGCCTGGTTAATTTTTGTATTTTTTAGTAGAGACGGGGTTTCACCATGTTGACCAGGCTGGTCTCGAACTCCTGACCTCAGGTGACCCAACCGCCTCGGCCTCCCAAAGTGCTGGCATTACAGGTGTAAGCCACTGCACCCGGCCTCCATTCTTGTTGGTATTGTCTGAATCACAAAATTTTAAAATTTTGATTAAATACAATCTGTCAACATTCTTTTTATCACTTGTGCTTTTGGTGTCACATCCAAGAAATCACTGTCTAATCCAAAGTCACAACTACTTGTGCCTATGATTTCTTCTAAGAGTTTGACAGCTTTAGTTTACATTTAAGTCTTTAATTCACTTGGTGGTAACATTTTGTATATGGTGCAGGGTTAGGGTTCAACTTCATTCTTATGCATATGGGTTCCAGTTGTCCTAACATCTCCCCTGACTTATCTTGGCATCCTTGTTGAAAAGCAACGTCTTTCTTCTGGACTCTGTATTTCATTAATCTATGGATTTATTCTTATGTTACTATCATGATGTGGTTCTGTAGAAAGTTTTGAAATTGACAAGTTCAAGTCCTCCAATTTATTTTCTCAAAGTCATTGGTCATTCAATGTCCCCTGAATTTCCGTACGAAGTTTAGGATAAAAGCTTGTCAATTTCTGCAAAAAAAGCCAGCTGGGATTTTGACAGGCACTGCACTAAATCTGTTGGTTAATTTGGTGAGTACTGTCATGTTAACATTAAAATTTTCAGGACCATAGCATGTGTCTTTCCACTTAATTTCAATAATGTTTTATAGTTTTCAGAATATGTTTTGCACCTGGTCCATTTATTTCTAAGTATTCGCTTTTTAATGTTATTGGTAATGAACTGTTTTTTGTAATTTCACTTTTGTAGTGTTCACTGTGACTGTCTAGAAACATATTTATGTATATTGAACTTGTATTCTGCAACTTGCTGAACTCGATCATTAGTTTTAATAGATTTTTCTGATTTCCCTTGTGATTTTCTATAGATAAGATCATGTCATTGGTAAACAGATAGTTTAACTTCTTTTTCAACTTGAATGCCATTTCATATTCTTGACTAATTGCCCTGGTCAGACAATGCTGAATATAAATGAGAGTAAACATACTTACTTTGTTCTTGATCTTAGGGAGAAGGTATTCAGTCTTTCACTATTAAATTATGTTAGCTTTGGATATTCTCTAGATGCCATTTACAAGGCTGAAGCCCCTTCTGTGTCTAGTTTTATTTATTAATTTAGAGATAAGGTCTCACTCTGTTGCCCAGGCTGGAGTGTAGTGGCGTGATCTCAGCTCACTGCAAGTTTTGTCTCCAGAGTTCAAGCGATTCTCGTGCCTCAGTCTCTAAAGCAGCTGGGATTACAGGTAGGCACCACCACGCCTGGCTAATTTTTGTATTTTTAGTAGAAACAGGGTTTCGCTATGTTGGCCAGGCTGGTCTCAAACTCCTGGCCTCAAGTGATCCGCCCGCCTCACTTCCCAAAGTGCTGGGATTACAGGTGTGAATCACTGCGCCCAGCCTAGTTTGTTTTTATAATCACAAATGGGGGTGTTGGATGTTGTCAAATGATTTTTGTGAATCTACTGAGATGAGCATGTGGTCTATATTCTTTCCTTGATTGCTTTATTATAAATTGATATGGCACAATACATTAATTTTCAGGTGTTAAATCAACCTTGCTTTCCTAATATATCCAAGATACATTAGGAAATATATCTTGGATTTATTTTTTTTTTTTTTTAGGAAATATATCTTGGATTTAAAAAGATACTCTTTAAAACTTTTGATGCTTAGTCAAAAGAACCCTGATATTGTAAACTGAGCTTTAAAACACACTTTGTCTGTAATCCCAGCACTTTGGGAGCCCGGCCAACATGGTGAAACCCCGCCTCTATTGAAAATATAAAAATTATCCAGGCACTGTGGTGGGCACCTGTAGTCCCAGCTACTCGGGTGGCTGAGGCAGGAGGATGGCCTGAATTTGGGAGGCTGAGGTTGCAGTGAGCAGAGATCGCGCTACTGCACTCTAGCCTGGAGGACAAAAGCAAAACTCCATCTCAAAACAAATGAACAAACAACAATAACAAAAAAAACCCACACACTTTGTAATTAGGTACCCCAATACTTTATTGGGGTGCTTTCAAAAATTAATTCTGCTCTGGTTTTAAAAAAATAAGCCTTTGAAGGTAGTTAACTGATTTCAGAGAGATGCAGGCCAAACTCCTAGTGTTTGTGAGGAAAAAAGGGTAAATGGAGACCAGAAACTTACTGCCTCCAGAAGTGCATGTCATAGTTCAAGTCAGCATAGCACTTGGCGTTTTTTTTTTTAAATGGTAAAATAATGCACCAAACTAGTAAAATCTTAATCTTACCTGCACGAGGTATCGCGGATCCACATTTAAATAAGGAGACAGAGGGTTCATACCAGTTACTAGAGAGAAAACAAAATGTCACATTGCAACAACATTCTTTAAGTTAATTCGGTTAGAATTAATCCAGCTCCTGATTGTTACATGTGTTTGAAATTTTTATAGGCTCACTGAAGGCGAAAATTTTTTCCCATTTTATCCTCCCTGTCAGTTTGGGGGCTGACTCAGGATATCCTCAGACCCTCAATCCCAAACCAGGTTTTCCACTGGTGGCTCAGGCTTTTACACCAGGTAAGATATTCGCAGTGTCATAGATCAGATTACTGAACTTACAGCAAGTGTAGCCTAGGCCATTTATAGTTAATTTCTGTCAATTTACTACAAGAATGCTTGGTGACTATGTAAATTGCAAAATAAGACTGAGAAAAGACTAATCAATTCCATGGGGAAAACAGTGGTTGGGTTGGGTTTTCTGACTGTGTACATGTTGTATGTAAGTATTTCAAGGCAGTTCCTTCACGTATTACTATTAACGACTGATTTACTGTGGCAAGGGTGAGAATCCTTGGGTCATTACCACAGGTATGTGGGTCTGTGCAAAAGAAAATACAAACTTTCAGAGGGCCAGACCTGAATTCACTAACACTGAAAACAGTAAAACCTATCAATCTTTGGATTCTTCTGTATCTCAGCAGTTAATTCACAAATATATGCATCACCTATGCCTCTGATCTTTTCATCAATTATAAGTCCTGTTTATTCTATTTTCATCACCTATTTTGAATTGTTACTTATCTCTATTGCTACCATCCTAGTCCAACCATCATATCTCACAGCAACAACTTCCTAACTCCTTGCTTTCTCTTGCCCCTTCAACTCACAGTCTACATAGCAACTACAGTGATTTTTCTTAAGAAAATCCAAACTCCTTACCATAACCTACAAAACCCTACATTAGCTGTCATTCCCTACCTCTCTGATTTCACAATCGTCAGCTGATTCAACTCCCTTGTAACTATGAAGACAGAGTGGCCTAAGAGTTGTTCCTTGAACATACCAAATTTGTTTTGTTTCAGGACATTTGCACTAGCTAATTTCCTGGATACTTGCCTCCCAAGCATTTGTACTATATTTGGGTCACAGCTCAAATGTCAACTCCCTTAAGATGTTTTCCCTAACCCGTTCTAAAATGGCATCCTGCTTCCATCACAATCTCATGACTCTGCTTTATTCCCGTTTACAGCCCTTACCACTAACTGTAATGTTTTAATTTATGTTTGTTGGCTTACCTCAGTATTATGTAAGCTCTGTGAGTGCAAGAGTCTTTTCAAAACAAAACAAAACAAAAAAACACAAAAAAACCACTATAGTCCTGCCCCCAGAAAACTAGCTAGCACACTGTAAAAGTTTAGTAAATGGTGTTCATTCCCTGGTCCCTCAATTTACCTTCAAATCTTAATCAAATTAAGGTAACAATATTGTCACATTAAGGAAGCGTATGCCGTTTGTGCTCTGAAACTCAGAGATATTAAGATTAATATGAAACTGTGTCCTAAACAGGTAGAGTGGTAGCTCAGGCCTAGGAACCCCAGCACTTTGGGAGGCCGAGACAGGAGAATGGCTTGAGCTCCAGAGTCTGAGACCAGCCTGGGTAACACAGGGAGATCCCATCTCCATAATAAGTTAAAAAAAAAAAAAAAAAAATTAGCCAGGCGTGGCGGCACGTGTCTAGAGTCCCAGCTACTTAGGAGGCTTAAAGGGGAGGATTGTTTCAGCTCAGACGTGCGAGGCTTCAGTGAACTATAATCATGCCACAGCACCCCAACATGGGTGACAGAATGAGGTCCTGACTCTAAAAACAGAAAAAAACAACAGAACAGAACAGAACACCTTGTGTTGTAGATTCCGTTTTTTGACAACGGTGACACCAGGGATATGAAAGGTCTTTTCTTTTATATTTTTTTGCGCTAGTCAGTCTGAACATATTTTGTTGTTGCTGTCCTTTAGTATAAAACACCTAGAAAAATATTACAAGGATTCTCTAAAAAGAAAGTACTTTCGTAAAGGCTTTATCCACGACCAACTGCCTATCTTTAGGTCCAAGTTCTATTTATCCAGTTGAATAACCACAGTTACAAAGTACCAAAGTTCTGGAATACATATTCGCAAGACTGAGGAGAGGCAAAGGCAAGGTATTCATGCCTCTGTATCCTTTATGTTGTTGCTTATTTCCTTTCCTATAATTCTTACGTGGCTTCTTTCTTCATGTCTATATATATCACCTTTAAAGTTCAGCTTACCTCCTAGCTCCTAGAGATGGTTTCCCAGCCTGTCCCAAGTCATACTTATTTCTCACTTATATGCAATACTACTGAATGTTCTGCCCTAATGGCTACTTGGGGGTTGAGAATACGTCGCTGTGTACCAAAAAGTTAACTACAGCTTGCTATTTGGAATATATTTACTCCCAAAGCTGGGCTCTACTCTTAATCAAGGGCCAATCACACGGCCCACCACACACAAAAGACATGAGGCTTGGATATAAACCTAAGAAAACATGCATCATCTCGCGAGTCCAGGTCAATCACGGACAGCTTCCCCGGGAGATCCGTGGCCCTTTTTAAGGCCTTTCGATCTTGAAAGAGCAGCCATGCAGACACACTAACCCCACCACTGGTGCTGAAGCTTGTAAATGCCAGAAAGGAAAAAAACATAAAACATGGGACGCGCAACTTTAGTGAAGACGCAAGAACCAATCAGAAATAATCGCAAGGTAGGCCCCATACTTACGCGGGACGCCAGCCAAATCCGCGTGCGAGTAACCTGCTCCGCCGGCTCCGAAAAAGCCGGCCAATCCCCCTGTGGTTTTGTTGCCGCTTCCCCCGCCTCCTTCCATGATATCTCAGCAAACCGAGTGGTTCCCGCCGCTGTCTCGAGTCTAGGTGGTCCGCTGGGCCGTTGCTCCTCAATAACAGCGGGTAACCCCCGCGTTGCTAGCGCCTCCTTCACACGCTGACCTTCCGGGCGCCGGTTCCCCCTAAGCGCCGCGCTTCCGCTTTGCGGCAGTGTGCGCCCCGGAAGCCGGAAGCGCCTGACGGCAGCTTTCCGGTGGTGGGAAAGGGAACGAATCCCGAATCAAAGCGGCGCACTCTGAGGCAGGTGGGGTGCCAGTGGAAGAGGGACTGCAGGAGACTGTTTACGGCCTGACTTGGGAGGCCGGCGGTCAGCAACTGCAGAAGCAGGAAGCAGCGGAGAGGGAATGGTGCGGGGAGGCGCGGAGAAGGAGGTGCAGTCCATCCCTCTCACGGTTAGTGAATGAGGCTCTCCGCCCGGGCCGGCCCGGGGACAGTGCGCTGCGGGTCCCAGCATGAATGCGGGCCCCGGCTGTGAACCCTGCACCAAGCGACCCCGCTGGGGCGCCGCTCCAACTTCGCCGGCTGCTTCGGACGCCCGGAGCTTTCCCAGCAGGCAGAGGCGCGTCCTCGACCCCAAGGACGCTCACGTGCAGTTCAGGGTCCCACCGTCCTCGCCAGCCTGCGTCCCAGGGCGGGCGGGACAGCACAGAGGCAGCGCCACCTCGCTTGGTACGTGGGAAAATAAAAATATTTGTTCTTCGCCTCGGCCGGAACCTTCTGGTCTCAGTCTGAGGACCCAGGGGCTCCAGTCACTCCTTTCTGGTCTTGTGTGCATTATCATGCTGAGGTCCACTTGCTGAGCTACCAAAGCCACTAGTGGGTGAATGGGGCCGCATTTTTCCCAGTGCTATTGATGTGAGAAACTGATGAGCAGTCACTCACAGGGCGGAAAATGGCAGGAGACTCCACCACCTGTTTGCTTCTTCAGGTTTGATTGAGAAATTGCCTTAGTCGTCAAGGAGATGTAGTTGTGTATGTGAAACAGTAGGGCCCTTTGGCCTCTAGATAGGAAGAAAACAACTTCACTTGTTCAGATTCTGGGTCCCAGGGTGCAGAGCTATTAGTCTAAGCTGGCCTTGTACCCGTCCCTGGCATGCAGTGTTGAACAAGAGAAGCTTGGCCTCTGCCTTCATACCTTAAAATCTATCTGGAGAGATAGACAATAGCAAAAGTTAGTATAATAAAATGTAATGGATGTTCTGATACATGAAGGACAGATTGTTCTACCTAACCTAATTTATGGGATCGAAAATAGTCCTCCAGAAGATGAGATGCTTATTCTGAGGACTTTAGAATGAGTAGAAGTTAGATGAGGAGGAAATAAGTGAGTATTTCAGGAGTGCAATTGAGGCCGGGCGCGGTGGTTTACGCCTGTAATCCCTGCACTTTGGGAGACCGGGGTTGGTGGATCACCTGAGGTCAGGAGCTCAAGACCAGCCTTACCAGTGTGGTGAAACCCCGTCTCTACTAAAAATCAAAAAAAATTAGCCGAGCGTGGTGGCGGGCAGCTGTAATCCCAGCTACTCGGGAGGCTGAGGCAGGTGAGGCAGGAGAATCGCTGGAACCCGGGAGGCGGAGGTTGCAGTGAGCCAAGAGGGCACCATTGCACTCCAGCCTGGGCAACAACAGCGAAACTCCGCCTCAGAAAAACAAAAACAAAACAAAACAAAAACAAAAGTGTAATTGATACATAGAGTGAACGCAGGAGAGTGAGAGATGAGGCTGCAGGGTGGTACAAAAAAGTCAAATCAAATTGGATATGTAGACATTGCTAAGGATTTTGAGCTTTAAGGGCATTGAGAAGCTATTCAAGGGTTTTTAGGAGGGGAGTGATTTGATTAGACTTATTTGTTGAAAAGTCTGTGTGGCTGGTGTGTGGACAATAAAGAATGGATTGGAAAGGAACTCAAGTGGAGCCTCAAGACTCAGTTAAGGAGCTAATCTAGGTTGGAAATAATTGTAACTTAGACCTGGATGCTGGCAATAGGGAAGGGGATGGATTCATGAAAGAATAGGATGCTTGAGAAGAAATATTTCTGTGCTGGAAAAGTAGATTGGGGAGTTCTTGACATAAACATTATAATGGATGCTATGGGCATAGATAACATATAAACATGTAGAGAAAGGAAAGGTTGACCTAGGGCAGAAGCCTTAGGAACACCAAAGTTCAAGGGTGGACTGAAGAGAAGCGGCTGCAGAGGTGGAAGGAAAGCCTGGCTTGTGTTGTGTCAGGCAAAGGAGAGCATTTCAAAAAGGATGCATTCGTTAACAGTGTAAGAGGCTGTGCAGAGCTTGGGCAGTTCTCTGATGAAGAGTGTACACTTAGATGTCTTCATACTTAGGGGCAGTACCAAGCCGACTTTCACTGAGCCTTGAAGGATGAGGAAGATTTGCTGTATAAATCAGGAGGAGAAAGAATTATACACGCAGAGGGAATAAGACATGCAAAAGTTGGTAAGACTGGAGCATAAGATGATAGAGGAGTGTCAGATGAGGTTGAGTGGCAGGCAGGAGCTTATGAAGAAACTCAAGTTCCATTTTAAGGAATTTCAACCTTATTCTGTGGTTAATGGAGAAACCACTAAAAAACTTTTAAGCTTGGGAATACCATTTGGTTAATATTTTAGAAAATATGGCTTAAACAGTGGCTTTTGGACTTTTCTAACTGCAACCCACAGCATAAATTTTATCTGGTACACAGAGTTAGAAATATATGTAACCTGGCAAATAAGACATATTTATAACTGAAATAAATGCTCCATGAAATAATACTTAACTTTACTATGTGTGATGCATTCGTGTATTGTCTGTGTTATTTCATTGAAAATTGACTGGTCATTTGTAGTTTGTAGAACACTGGATAGTCAAGATTATAGACAGGGAGACTAGTTGCAAGAAACATGGCAGTTGTCTAATAAGTGATGTGTTTAAAGGGTATACGAAAGGGATGGATTTAAAATTTAGGATGTAGATTTCAGAGAACTTGGTATAGGGGAGAGGGAACTGAAGGTGAACTTCAGGTGTGTGTTCAGGTGTACTTCAGCCCCTGTGACTGGATAATTTGTGGTTTCATTAACCTTATTTTCATGTAAAGAAGGAGGAGTTAGTTGCAATAGGGGTGAGGACAGTCAGTCCTCACTGGTTGGATCTTTAGATTTCTGCAGAAGAGGTACCAAATGAATACTTGGGGCTGTATTTCACGTGTTTAAATGTTTTCTATATACCTGGGACAGGACACCAGTTAACAATGTTCAAAGACTATATTTGTATCAAAAGCCCATTGTTTGAATTTTTGGGATTCCTTTAGGAACTTGGTATTTAAATTTTTATACATAATTATCTTAGGACAAGTAGGTGGGGTAGAGAAATGGATATTTACTCAGTATCTTTAAATTTTACATTATTTATCCTCCTGGGCACGTTTCTTATATTGACTGAAATCGCAAATTTTGCTGGGCATGGTGACATGCACCTGTAGTCCCAGCTACTTGGGAGGCTAAGGCAAGAGGATCACTTGAGCTCAGGAATTCCAGTCCAGCTTAAGCAGCATAGCGAGACCCCACTTCTGAAAAAAGAAAAAAAAAAAAATCTGCAAACCTGCATATTGGCAGAACTCAGGATGTTATTCACATTGTGATGATAAAGGGTTTATCCAGATGTGTTGCTATGGACTTTTTGTGAAAGTGGAGCATGCCTTTGAAATGTAGGTGAATGTTATTGCATTTTGTGCCTTTTGGCTGTATCTATAGCTGTTAATTGAATGACCTGCTGATTAAAATACACTGGTTACTGAGTAATGTTACTGATGAGAATAAATGTAAATGGTGTGAAGTCAAAGTTGAAGAATTACTGATCTCAGTGGGGAAAAAAAAGACTGAGTGGAAATGTCGGGCGATAACATATTTGTTAAGTGTTTTGTGAGACTGAACACAATATTTTCTCTAATTTTTGCATTTTAATTGATCAACATAACCCTTAGAAGTAGGTGGTGTTAGCTTCATTTTCTGGGTGAGTAAATAAAGGCTTAACAAAGTGAAGCAACTTGACCAAGATGGTACTAGTAAGTGACTGAACAAAGGTCTCAATCCAAGATGATCTGACTCTAGATCTTGTATCTTCGTCACTTCTTATTGCCACTCTTTTTGCCTTGTTGTGACTATTTCTAGTTAAAATTCACAGGAAACCTGGAAAGCATCATTTTATGCTTCAGGAGTAAGAGGGATAAAGCTCTGACACAGTCCTGTGGTGTGTTGGGAAGGAAACCTTAGGAAGCCAGAAGTGGTGATATTGCAAAGAGCAGTAAGCAGTCTTTTCTCTGAGGCCCTAAGAAGGACTGATCAATGTTTTATTAGCAGAAGATACTGGTTCCTCACCTCTTGCTTTTACTCCTTCATCCCTTCCTCAGGCTTCAGGAAACCTGAAACTGGAGAGAAAACACATTCTCAGGGTCAGGGCTACAGGAGAGAGCTCTCTTCCTCACCATCACTAGAACACTCCTGGTTTTTCATGAAATGATGTGTACAGTCTTTAGGTTCTGTAGACTTATCACTGGAGTATGTGCTTCTTGTGTGTTTTAGGAACCTAGTCATTGCATCTTAACATTAATCCTTATATTTATGGAAAAAAGATGTTTTAACTTCTAAACCAACTCAAAAAATGAATGTTTTGGCATATTACTGGTTTGTAATTTGAGGATTTTTTTTTTTTTTTTTTTTTTTTATTTTTATGAGACCAGTCCGTCTGCCGCCAGGCTGAGTGCGTGGCTAGATCTTGCATCAATATGACCTCCCTCCCGGGTTTTCAATCGCCTTCTCCCCTCAGGGCGGCTCCCGAAGTTAGCCTGGGACCCTACCAGCGCGGCCGACTGTCGCCCGGCTATTTTTTGTATTCTTTTTTTAGTCAAAGGACGGGGGTTCACCTTAGTGATCACAGGATCGGATCCCTTCGATCTCCTGACCCTCGTGTCCCCGCCGTCTTCGGACTCCAAAGTTGCCTGGGAAAATTACAGGGTTTGGAGCCCACCGCGCCCGGCGCTTTTGTTCTTTTTTTAAAAGATTGGGAGTTCCTCACACTGCTCGCCCGAGGCTGACGTGCAGTGTGCCCACCGATCTCAGCTCACTGCAGAGCTCCGTCCGGCGTTCACCACATGCTCCTGCCTCAGCCTCCACAGAGTAGCTGGACCACCTGGGCCCGCACAACGCCCGCTTTAATTTTTTTTTTTCATTCTCTTAGTAGAGACGGGGTTTCACCGTGTTAGCCAGGATGGTCTCGATCTCCTGACCTCGTGATCAGCCCATCTTGGCTTCCCAAAGTGTTGGGATTACAGGCGTGAGCCACCGTGCCCGGCCCAATTTGAGGATTTTCTAAACTATACTTGCTGTATTTGATATAAAGAAAATAAATAGAGAATACAGAACTATAGAAAAAGTTTCAGAATCAGATGGTTTATCCTCTTACTCCCTCTGACTGAGGCTCATTTTTTCTCTGAAGCCTGATCTGCTGCAGAAATGCTAAATAAAATCATTGAAGTAATGGTGTTTAACAATAAGAAATCACTATGCATGATTACTTTTTTGTGATAGAAACTATTTTTGAAACACTAATCAAAGATTTTTACTAGTTGGATTATAAGTATTTTGTGGAAGGTAAAGATTATATAGCATTGAATATTTTTCTGGTATAAAATTCTCCCCATCTGAAATGTATTTTGATTATGCCGTTATCTCAATGAAAAATAAACCATTGATTTTCATCTGTTTGAGCCTGCATCTGTTTTGCTCAATATGGTGTTTGAGGAGAGGTAGGTAAATAAGAAAGATCCTGTGACTTAGTGTGCTAAGATTCTTACATTCAATTTAGTGAGTATCTCAAATCTTAAACATTTGCGAATGTTTAAGATTTTATTTCTGGTACTAAAATGTGATGTACATTTAATCCCTATTCAATATATTAAATTTTGACAGCATACTTACTTCTAATGATTATATAAAATGTGGCTTGTATTTATTTATATTGCATCTCCCTCTCCTGAGCTATCAATTCTACTGTTGCTACTATCTGCTGGTGTGTTGGGAAGGAAACCTTAGGAAGCCAGAAGTAGTGATATTGTTTTCTATCTAGTTACTTCTTTGGCATCTCAAATTTAGTATAGGCAGAATCGACCTAATCATGCTTTTTCCCTAAACACAATTCTCTTATATTCCATATTTCTACTTAAGGCTGTCATCATTTTTCAAGTCTCTCAAGCCCAAAGCTTAAAGTCACTTTTAACTTCCCCTCTTATTGTGAAGTCTGTAATGACTCTCCTCACTTCTACTACTCTCACAAGGACTAGTTTATGTTCTTGGCCAGTCACTGTTCAATCTAGTGGATTATCAAAATCACTTTTGGAAAAAAAAAAAAAAAAAAGATTCCAGCTCCCCTCATGCCTTCATCCTACTCACATATAGATTCTGATTCAGTGTGGCTGGCTTTCTGATGATCCAAATAGTTTAGGAACCACTGACCTGGACTAGTAGCTTTCTCCCTGGTTTCTGGCAATAAGCTCTTCACTCTTGCCCCTCAGATTTATCCTCCAGGCTGTCATGCATGACTGTGAGCCTCCTAGATGAGAGGAATCATATCTTTCAACACATTTTTTTGTACTTCTCTTTGTGGGTCATTCAAGATCCTATTGTATGATATGATCCTGGCTGACTTTTCAACCATATTTTCTTTTGCTTTCTATTTAAGTTCTTTATATTTCCCCGATATTGGTGCCTTTGCTTATAATTTTCTTTTTATGTGACTGCATGTTTACTTTTCAAGGCATAATTCAAGCCTTACCTTTTCCAAAGAAATCTTACCGATTATGCCCCAATTTCTCCTATTCACCGAAGTAGTGTCTTCCTGGGAAATAACCTTAATTCCTTTATCGGGACCTCTTTTAATAATAATGATAATTAAGAATCAACATTTACTAAGCATAAACCAGATAATGCCCTAAACACTTTATATAAACTGTTTTTACTTAAATTAAGCCTTGTCTCATGAGAGATAGTTATTTTGCACGTTTACAAATGAGGGATCTAAGATACGGAGAAATGACCCCTCACAGAGTAACTTAGGAAGCTAATGGGAGAATCAGGATTTGAATGCAAATGTTCTGATTCCATAGCCTATGCTGTTATCCATTAGGCCATACCAACTCTCTTAGGCACCACTCATTTTCTACCCTGTGTCATATGTATTAACATTTATGTTCCTATCTCACTGGTATTACTTGAGGGCAAATACTTGAGTTATTAATCTTTTGTTTAACCTGTAGAACCTAGCATAGTTCCTTGCATGTATAATATGCTGTATATGTTTTCTGTTTGAAGGAATGTATGAATATACATTTTTTTTTATAGTTTTCAAACAAAAGACTATTACCAGTTGGATGGACACTAAAGGAATCAAGACAGCGGAATCAGAAAGGTATAGAGACATTCCTATATGGAGAAATGAATAATAATACGTGGATGTTTTATCTTGTTGCTTTAGTATTTTCTTTCTTTGTTCATGCTTTTCTATTCTCCTTTATCTATGTTAATTCAAAATCACCTTAAAAGTAATTTTTTAGAGAGTCCTTTGTGTCAGGGACGGTCCTGTATACTTGAAATACCGAGATGAGACAGGAATAGTCTGTGTCTTTTTTTTTTTGAGATGGAGTCTCGCTCTGTCGCCCAGGCTGGAGTGCAGTGGCGAGATCTCGGCTCACTGCAAGCTCTGCCTCCTGGGTTCACACCATTCTCCTGCCTCAGCCTCCCGAGTAGCTGGGACTACAGGCGCCCGCCACCACGCCTGGCTAATTTTTTGTATTTTCAGTAGAGATAGGGTTTCACCAGGTGTAGCCAGGATGGTCTCGATCTCCTGACCTCGTGATCCGCCCGCCTCGGCCTCCCAAAGTGCTGGGATTACAGACATGAGCCACTGCGCCCGGCCAGTTTGTGTCTTTAAGATACTTACAGTGTAGCAGTGGCCACACGCACAAAAACACATACTTACTGCCTAGTGTGATGGATGCAATAGTAAAGGTATGAGCAAGGCACAGTGGTGGTTAGTGTGTAGAAGAAACAAATGTTCAACTTTACTTTTGGTCCCCAAAGTAAGACTGCATAGAGAAGTGAGTGACATTTATGACTTGAAGGAAAGGCAAGTGTTTGCCAGATACGCAGCTGCAGGGAGGGCACTGGGGCACATGCAAAGGCATGGAGTCATGGAAGACGTGTGTGCTCAGGTAACTAAAGGGAGTTTAATTACTGCTGTGACACTGGGGGTATGATTGGATAAGTGACTTTTTTGTATTATAAGTTGTTTTTAGTTCTTTCTGTTCTCTTGTAGTTTGGATAGTAAAGAAAACAACAATACGAGAATAGAATCCATGATGAGTTCTGTACAAAAAGATAACTTTTACCAACATAATGTAGAAAAATTAGAAAATGTTTCTCAGCTAAGTCTTGATAAGTCACCCACTGAAAAAAGTACACAGTATTTGAACCAGCATCAGACTGCAGCAGTGTGTAAGTGGCAAAATGAAGGGAAACACACGGATCAGCTTTTGGAAAGTGAGCCTCAGACACTAACCCTGGTACCAGAGCAGTTTAGTAATGCTAACATTGATCGGTCACCTCAAAATGATGATCACAGTGACACAGATAGTGAAGAAAATAGAGACAATCAACAGTTTCTCACAACGGTAAAGCTTATAAATGCAAAGCAGACTACAGAAGATGAACAGGCCAAAGAAGCCGGAAGCCACCAGAAGTGCAGCAAGTCTTGCCATCCTGGGAAAGACTGTGCAAGTTGTCAGCAAGAGGAGATAGACGTCGTGCCAGAGAGTCCATTGTCAGATGCTGGCTCTGAGGATGTTGGTACTGGACCAAAAAATGACAACAAATTGAGTAGACAAGAAAGTTGCCTAGGAAATTCTCCTCCATTTGAGAAGGAAAGTGAACCCGAGTCACCGATGGATGTGGATAATTCTAAAAATAGTTGTCAAGACTCAGAAGCAGATGAGGAGACAAGTCCGGGTTTTGATGAACAAGAAGATGGTAGTTCCTCCCAAACAACAAATAAACCTTCAAGGTTCCAAGCAAGAGACGCTGACATTGAGTTTAGGAAACGGTATTCTACTAAGGGAGGTGAAGTTAGATTACATTTCCAATTTGAAGGAGGAGAGAGTCGCACTGGAATGAATGATTTAAATGCTAAACTACCTGGAAATATTTCTAGCCTGAATGTAGAATGCAGAAATTCCAAGCAACATGGAAGGAAGGATTCTAAAATCACAGATCATTTCATGAGACTGCCCAAAGCAGAGGACAGAAGGTAATTTTCTGTGAGGAATATCTCTCCAATAGCATAATATGCTTTATAGTTTTGTAAGGGAGTTTAACGAAGCTATGATTTCTAGTAAAGCAAAAAAATGGTTTTGTTTCTTGTTAACTACTTATGCGAAATTTAAACCTAGACTCCAAAGTTTAAACTCTAAAAAGGCTAGAAACAGAAAACAAGAAATAAAATGAGTATTAGAAATCAGATTTTTAGTTTCATGAGCTTCCTTTTGGTATTTATGGGAATTACTAGAACATGAAAATACTAGGTTGATAGTAGCTACTGTTTCTTCAGCCAGACATTCTTGTAGGCCATTGTGTATTACACTTTTTTTTTTTTTTTTTACACTGTTTAATGCCATTGACAGGCAGACAGATGGTATTATACTCACTAAATGAGAAAACTGAGGTTTGGGTTAGAGAATTCGCTGGAATCATGTGCCTTCTGAGTGGTAATGCTGGGATTTAAATCCAGGTGTGTCATATTACAAAGCTTATATTTTGCCATTACCCCATATGGACTCTTAAATCCCATCCATGATTTCTGTGATCTGAGTTTCATGAGATAGTGCAATCAGCATGCAATAGTGAGTTCACTTCATTGAAAATTACTGTGTAGATGATACTGTGAACCATGACTCATTTCTGTTTTGAGAAGGTGATTTACATGTGTTTGGAACTTTCTTCCACAGACTGTTAAAAATAAGCTCTTGAGTTTTATAAGCTTTATAAGTTTTTCTGTTGATTTTAAATATAAAACATAATGAAATGAGTGACCAAGTATGGCATACTTTAAACAATAACATCTGGGTAAGTTTTGTGCTTGTGTATCTAAGGGAATTAAAACAGCAAATAATTTGTGACTAAATACATTTGTCTTGACCTTAGAAAAGAACAATGCGAAACCAAACATCAAAGAACAGAAAGGAAGATCCCTAAATACGTTCCGCCTCACCTTTCTCCAGATAAGAAGTGGCTTGGAACTCCCATTGAGGAAATGAGAAGAATGCCTCGATGTGGGATCCGGCTGCCTCTCTTGAGACCATCTGCCAATCACACAGTAACTATTCGGGTAGGTAGCACCTCTTATCTATCATGAGAGAAGACTGGAAGTCCTCATTTATTGTGATATTTATTAAGTGAGAAACAGACCAAGGCTTAGAAAGTTCTTCTGTTTTCTGCATATATAAAATACTGAGAATCCTACAGTATGGAACGATGTAATGATAACCTACTTAATATAGAACCTAACAAATTAGCAATCATTAGCAATCATTGTCAGCTGATGGTGAAGATTTTTTTCCAGTATTTTTAAGAAACCTCATTGGATTCTTTTTCTGTCTTTTTACTCAGTTGATAGTATTGTGTACCCACTGCACAATCCTGCATTCATCCCTAAATTTCAAAGTTACGCATAGTTTAGTGTCCTTAAATCATTATCCAGTTGTGCCTTTTTTTTTTTTTTCGCAGGAGACCAGAGTTTTCTTATTACTCAAATCAGTCTCCTCGAGCATTCGGAGGTCAGAGTTTTTAAGGATAATTTGGTGGGTTGGGGAAGGCCAGTGAGTCAAGAGTACTGATTGGTTGGGTCACAAGAAGAAATAATGGGAAGTTGAAGCTGTCCTCTTGTGCTGCATCAGTTCTTGGGTGGGGACCACAAGATCAAATGAGCCAGTTTATCCATCTGGGTCCAGGTGCCAGCTGATCCATCAAGTGCAGGGTCTGCAAAATACCCAAGCACTGATCTTAGCAATTTAGGGAGGGTCGGAATCTTGTAGCCCCCAGCTGCACGACCCCTAAACCATAATTTCTAATCTTGTGCCTACTTTGTTAGTTCTACAGTGGCAGTCTAGTCCCCAGGCAAGAAGGGGGTTTCTTTTGGGAAAGGGCTGTTACTGTCTTTGTTTTAACATTATATTAAAACATTATAACAACATTGTAACAAAACATAACAAAATACTAACATTTTATGGGAGTTACAAGCCAAGAACCTGGACAAAAACCAATGTGAATATCATAACACTACACTAACAGAAACTCTGTACATATTAAATAATTAAACCTCCTTCCCTGCTTCTCCTAGTTCTTAGTTACCTCTTTTATACTTTCTGTGTGTTCTTGCTTTTAAAAACCAATTTCATTGAGGTATGTAAAAATTCACCCATTTTAAGTGCTCAGTTTGGTGATAGAGTCCATTTATTGAGCTGTGTGACCATCACCATAATCCAGTTTTAGATTGCCATCACTCGCTGGGTAGTTTTAAACATTCATCTCATTTATTAGTCAGGTTTTATATAGATTTCACGCGCAGTACTAAAAAAATTGATGTGATCCCTCTTAACATACAATTTAGTGTAGATGTGATTAACTATTTTGAAATTCAGAATTCCTTAGCATATTTAGAGGTGCGAGTAACATTGAGCAGAGTTACGGGGTTTGAGCTGAGCTCTAAAAGATGAGCATAACTTTCTGAGGTGGAGTTAGTAAGATAGGAGACTTCCAGACAGATACATAAGATTGATAAGAACAGGCTGTGTGGTTGAAAACTATCTGTTTCAGAAGTGGAAAACAGTGCCTTTGCTGTAGTGTGGAATTTGGGTGGGGAATGAGGAAGAGACTTGAAAATGGGATTGGGTTCATATCACAGAGAGCTTCAAGTGCCAGGAACCAGACTTAAGTCATGTCTGTGCAGACAGTATTTGTGCTGTAGCAAGATTAATCAGACAGCTACATGTAAGGAAAACAAGTGAGGATACACTGGGAGCCGGGAGAGGTAATGTAAGAGCCCAGATAAGAGGTAAGTAAGGCAACAGTATGTACCGAATTGTGCTACATAGAGCTGCTTCAGGGGTTCTTCTGAAGTTTGATGCAAATTTCATTTCTAAATTATATTTTTAACAGTGAAAAACTTGTTAAAAAAGAACTACACAATCAAATTTGAAGATGCTTAATTCCACATTTGAGCCAGCTGTTTTTGCCAAGATAACCCATTTTTGTGTAGACCATAGAGCCAAGGTTCCCTTGCTACGTTTATCTGAAGAGTTAGCTTAATATCAAAATAGTATGTAAAATGTTACCATTTGCAACTGTATAGGTGCGTGAATCAGATAATGTGTGAGAGAGATAAATGTAAACTAAATGGTAGATTAATGTAAGCTTTAACTCTCATCCCTAACTCCTAATTTCTAACTTTGTATTTAAAACTGTCTTGTCATCACTTACTGATCTTAGAGTAAGTAAAAGTTACTATAAAAACTGTATTTCTTTTTTTTTCAACGGAGTTTTTTGCTCTTGCTGCCCAGACTGGAGTGCAGTGGCGCAATCTTGGCTCACGGCAACCTCCTCCTGCCGGGTTCAAACAATTCTCCTGCCTCAGCTTCCCAGGTAGCTGGGATTACAGGCATGCACCACCACGTCCAGCTAATTTTGTATTTTTAGTAGAGACGGGGTTTCTCCATGTTGGTCAGGCTGATCTCGAACTCCCGACCTCAGGTGATCCGCCCACCTCGGCCTCCCAAAGTGCTGGGATTACAGGCGTGAGTCACCGCGCTCTACCCAAAACTGTATTTCTAAAAATAGCTTTGGTGTGACTTTAACTGACTTTATGTCAAATTTCTTAGGGGAAAAAAAGGATTCTGCTGTTTTAAAGAGCTTGAAAATCACTGAGGTAATAGTCCTAGGGATAAAAAAGAAAATATAAGGCTGCATTGTTTTGAGGTAAAATTGGTAGAATATGGTGAATTCTTAAATATGAGTGATAAAAAGGAGTTGTTGATAATGCATGTAAAATTAAGGTTCTTAGTCTAGATTACTGAGATAATGTTAAAGCGAGGAACTGGAGAAAAGATTGACAGAGGGTGTTAAGTGATATTTTTAGCTTTTTTCTCCTCCTCCTCTCTCCCACCCTCCCACAAAGAAAACCCCAACCATCCTATGCCATCATTATTTAATCTCTATAGTTAACGTTTCTTTCTTAGGTACCCAGTGACCCTCAGGTTTTTAAAATCTTTTATTTTATTACAACAGTAAAGCAAGATTATTGTAAAAAATATGCAACTATTATATGAAAGCATGTAACTAAGAAAACCCATCTCTCAGTCCTATTCCCAGAGTTTAACAATTTGTTGTATTTTCTTCTAGATTCTTATTCCTGAATATGATAATAAGATATAAATGTAATTAACAGTTACTTAATAGCAGTGTTTAGTTATTAAGATTTCAGATGTTAATAGTTACAGAATTTGAAATAGTAAAATGACAGTTGGGCACAATAGCTCACACCTGTAATCCCAGCGCTTTAAGACGCCAAGGCAGGAGGATTGCTTGAGGCCAGGAGTTCAAGACTAGCCTGGGCAACATAGTACAATGTACATAGTCTGTACATTGTTAACTGTACAAAAAGTTAAAAAATTAGCCAGGCATGGTGGCACAGGCCTGTAATCCTAGCTACTCATGAGGCTAAGGCGAGAGGATTACTTGAGCCCTGCAGTTTAGCCTGGATGACAGAGTAAGACCCTGTTTCTTAAAAATAAAATAAAATAAAGCCAACATTTAGCTTTAGAAAGGTAAGGCAATCTGAAATTTCACTTAGTGGTCAATTTCCAACAAACACATGCATGTGTGCATGCATGCAAACACACACAGCCACACACAAAGCATATTACCTGTATGTTCCCCTTTGTGTGAAGCTCAACTGGTACCTATGCTGTTTTATCAGATGATATGGAACATCTTTACAAAATCACCTTTAGGACGTTCTTATGAGGGTGAAAATACTTTCAGCATAACTGCTGATTCTGTCACAGTTGACTTTTTTTTTTTCTGAGATGAAGTCTTGCTCTATCGCCCAGGCTGCTGGAGTGCAGTGGTGCGATCTCGGCTCACTGAAACCTCTGCCTCCCGGGTTCAAGCGATCCTCCTACCTCAGCCTCCCAAGTAGCTGGGACTACAGGTGCATACCACCAAGCTCGGCTGATGTTTGTATTTGTAATAGAGACGGGGTTTTGCCACGTTGGCTAGGCTGGTCTTAAACTCCTGAGATCAGGTGATCACCTGCCTGGGCCTCCCAGTGTGCTGGGATTACAAGTGTGAGCCACTGTTCCTGGCCTTTTTTTTTTTTTTTTAAGAGATAGGATCTCACTGTGTCACCCAGGCTGGATTGCAGTAGCAGTTGTGTGATCTTGGCTAGCCTCCAACTCTTAGGTTCAAGCAATCTTCCCACCTCAGCCTCCTGAGTAGGTGGGGTTACAGGCATGTGCCACCACACCTGCTAATTTTCTAAATTTGTAGCTATGTTGGCCCAGGCTGATTTTGAACTCCAGGCCTCAAGTGATCCTCTAGCCTCAACCTCCCAAAGTGTTGAGATTGCAGACGTGAACAACTGTGCCTGGCCACATTTGACACTACAGACATTTCTTTTCTCTTTGGAATATACTCATCCTTTGGCTCCGTGACACAATATAATCCTAAATTTCTTCCTCCTTAGCCAATTCTTATTTTCCTTTTAGGCTGTTCTTCTGTGTGTGACCAGTAAGTGTCGTTGGAGTTCCTCAAGCCTTTTTCGTAGGTCCTTTCTTCTTCTCTCTCTCTCTGGTTCGTCTCACCCACCCTTGTGGTTTTAATGATCACCTATATAGATAGCTCACAGGTTTCTTTTTCTTTTCTTTTTTTTTTTTTGAGAAGGATTCTCGCTCTGTCGCCAGGCTGGAGTGCAGTGGCTTGATCTCCGCTCACTGCAACCTCCGCCTCCCGGGTTCAAGTGATTCGCCTGCCTCAGCCTCCCCAGTAGATGGGACTACCAACATGCGCCACCATTCCCAGCTAATTTTTGTATTTTTAGTAGAGACAGGGTTTCTCCATGTTGGCCAGGATGGTCTCTGGTCTTGCTCTCTTGACCTCGTGATCTGCCCGCGGCCTCCCAAAGTGCTGGGATTACAGGCATGAGCCACCGGCCCAGTTTATTTTTCTTAAGTTGCAGTGTTACTAAACTGAACCTGGGTGCACTCCAGTGCAGTAAAGCCAAACACCGACACTGACATCTGTAGCAAGAGAAATAAGGGTGTTTGTTTGCAGGGCACCAAGCAAGTAGAATAGGATAACTATTGCTTAAAACTTGACCTCCCCAGTGGCATACAAGCAAGATTTTTTTAAGGTAGAGATATATTTTAGGAAAGCAGAAGTTACTGGCAAAATCATACATCAATATGTGGGGGTTATATGTTGGTTTAGTCCCAAAAGGCAGGATATCTTGAGGTGGGGTGGCAGAATTCAGAGATTCTTTGATTTGCGATTGGTTAAGGAACTAAGGCTTTGTCTAGAAACTTGGGATCAGCAGAAAAGAATGTTAAGGTTTGGCACGTGGGTGTCACTGTCTCCAGGCCCCTCAGGAAGAAATTTAGAACAAAGAACGTCAGTCAGAGTTCAGTCTTCAGTTCCTGCTTATGTGATGGTGGTTAGCATTTTCCATTTGGCCGAGTCTGAGTTTCTGAAAAATAACTCAGAGACCTTTGTCAAGATGTTATCTTTATTTTCTATAGGGAGCAACACATCTTGTGGCTCTGACTTCCATGAGAGGCTATTGGTTTAAGCTGTTATTACCTCCTTGCTAATCTGGTGGCTCATTTACTTCTCAAGTCTAGCTAGGTGCCTGGAATTTCCCTTGAAGTTTGGGATATGATGAGGTTTCTCTTCAAATAACCTGATCAATCGTTTATTCTTTAATTCATAGTACTCCCCTCCCTTTTTTTTCTTTTTCTCCTTTTTTCCTTTTTGCCTTTATTAGATGCCCAGGCATGCCACAGTACCAAGCATTATCAATATCAGCTCACATTCCTTTCCTTATTTGGAAAGAGAACTAACTTTCTAGCTCATTACAGACATGCCTTCCCCTTTCCTCTCCGCTTTCTTTCACATGCCCGCCTATCTAAAAAAAATCAAACGTTTAGCCAACCGGGATTAGTTTAGATTGTACAACCCAACCCCAGCCAATAGGGAAAGGGTACAGAGGCAGGACTTGCGTCAGGAATAAAGGCTCTTGTGCCCCTTTGTTCAGGTGTGCTCTCATGGCGACTGGCCAAGGAGGCACTCCTGCGCAGAAGTAAAATTGCTTTGCTAAGAATCCTTTATTTGAGTGTTCAATTTCCTTAGGATTTTGAGCATTATTCCTAACAAAAGGACTTGAGATTTTCTTTTATTTCCTTGCTTGAGGGCACCCCAGCAGGCCCGTAAGAGAGCTCCCTGCTCTGTCTCAGCAGATGTTTTTATGAAGCTGTCTATTTGACAGTCTTCTTTCCATAGTTGTTCCCTTTTTAAGGAATGTTGATGAATAGAGTTAAACTCTGTAAAATATTTAAAGAAATTTATTCTAAGCCAAATATGAGCGACCTATGGCCTGTGACACAGCCCCAGGAGATCCTGAGTATGTGTGCCCAAGGTAGTCAGGCTACAGGTTGGTTTTATATGTATTAGAGAGCTATAAGACATCACTTAATACATGTAAGATGCATATTGATTTGGTCCAGCAGGCAGGACAACTCGAAAGGGGCTTCCAGGTCATAGATTCTCTGCTTGGCAGTTGGTTAAGAGAGTTATTATCTAAAGACCTGAAATCAATAGAAAAAGGAATATCTGGGTTAAGAAGGGTTTCTAAAGACCAAGGTTTTATCATGCAGATGATGCTTGTAGATAACAGGCTTCAGAGCTCTTATCAGACACTTCATTACTTCTCTCCTGGACTGGATCAGGGAAGACCTGGAAACGGAAGGGGATTCTCTACAGCAGCAGTCCCCAACTTTTTGGCACCGGGACCAGTTTTATGGAAGACCATTTTTCCATGGGTTAGGGGATGGTTTCAGAATGAAACTATTCCACCTCAGATCATCAGGCATTAGTTCGATTCTCATAAGGAGTGTGCAGCTTAGATCCCTCACATGTGCAGTTCATAATAGGCTTCTTGCCCTTATGAGAATCTGATGTTGCCACTGACCTGACGGGAGGCAGAGGTCAGCCTCACTCACCTCCTGCTACGCGGCCTGGTTCCTAACAGGCCATAAACTGCTAGTCCATGCCTGTCTGCATTCCGGGGAGTTTGGGACCCTTGCTCTACAGAATGTAGATTTTCCCCACAAGAGACAGTTTAGCAGGGCTATTTCAAAATATTTCAAAGGAATATATTTTAGAGTAAAGTATTTCTGTTTCTTTCAGGGCCTGGTATCTGTCATGTTGGTATCTTAATTGCTATAAAGAGTCTGCCTTGTCAGTCTTAAGGTACCTGTTTTAATGTTAATGCTGGTCAGTCATGTCTAAATTTCAAAGGGAGGAAGGTATAATGAAGCATGTCCAACCACCTGTTCCCATCATGGCCTGAACTAGTGTTTTGGGTTTGCTTTAGAATGCCCTTGACTGAGGGAGGGGTCCATTCAGTTGGTTGGGGGGCTTAGAATTTTATTTTTGTTTCACCCTTTTCCTTGTTAATTTTTTCCTTTAGAGTTAAGCTCAGTTACCATTCCTCAAGGAAGCTTTACCTAAGTTTACCAGATAAACTAAATCTGAGCTGGTCTCATAACACAATGTTCCTTATATTCATAACATACTACAAGTGAAATTATATATTTATTTATGTGATTATACTCTGCAGTGAAGTACTCATACATACTACCACATGGATTACTCTTGAAAACATTATGCTAAGCGAAAAAGCCCAGACACAAAAGGCCACATATTATGTGATTTCTTTTATATATAATATCCAGAATAGGCATAATGTTAAACTTTAAACCATAATCTCTTTCTCTTACCAGTGGCAAATCTATATGAGTCTGCAGCAATGCTAATACTAGCCTCCTTAGAAGAAAGGATTTGACTGAGGGGCATAAGGCAGAATGAGAAACCAAGCCAAGTTTTTTTTTTTTTTTTTTTGAGACGGAGTCTCGCTCTGTCGCCCAGGCTGGAGTGCAGTGGCGCGATCTCGGCTCACTGCAAGCTCCGCCTCCTGGGTTCCCGCCATTCTCCTGCCTCAGCCTCCCGAGTAGCTGGGACTACAGGCGCCGCCACCTCGCCCGGCTAGTTTTTTTCTGTTTTTTAATAGAGACGGGGTATCACCGTGTTAGCCAGGATGGTCTCGATCTCCTGACCTCGTGATCCGCCCATCTCGGCCTCCCAAAGTGCTGGGATTACAGGCTTGAGCCACCGCGCCCGGCCAAGGCAAGTTTTAGAGCAGGAGTGAAAGTTCATTAAAAAGCTTTAGAGCGGGAATGAAAGGAAGTAAATACACTTGGAAAAGGGCCAAGCAAGCGACTTGAGAGATCAAATACATAGTTTGACCTTTGACTTGAGATTTTATATGTTGGCATGCTTGGGGGTTATGGCCCCTTCTCCCCTGATTATTCCCTTGAGATGGGCTGTCTGCATGCGCAGTGTGATTACTGGAGTTGTACACATGCTCGCTTGAGGTATTCTTCCCTTACCAGTCGAGTGTTCTTATAAGGTCATATACCAGTTAAACTTTTGCCATTTTGCTTCCTAGTACACATGCTGGGGCTGACTTGCCCAGCTCCTAAGATCTTAACAGGAAGCTGCTGATCACCAATTTCAGATTTTTCTATCTATTGGGTGACTCCTTTCCCTGGCGCCAGCTGCATCCAGTTATTTTAGAGAGGCAGTTTCACAGCTGCCTGTGCATCACTTGAAGGTTGTCTGACATTCCCGGTGGTGGTAGGAGCCCTGTCCTGCCCTGCTCATGTCTGACTGGCTACCTACTGTAACATTTCCTCTAACTTTTACTTAATAGTTACTGTAGTAGCATATGTGTGTACATATATATTTGCATGTATGTGCATACACATGTATACATGCCAGATTCTAGTTTACGTATTCAGAATACAAAGTTAATATGGTTATTTTCAGGAAGTTTAGGATCTAATGAGGGAAAGAAAACAAGTGTGCTCTAGCATGATAATAATCTAACAAAACAAGATAAATAGCTGCCTACTTTGAAGTTTCTGAAGACTTCATAAAGGTAATGAAAATTTGGCAGCGCTGTGAAGGTGACAATAGAGATTTAACCAGATACAGTGGGGGAGGTGACAATTGGTAGTAGTGGTATTAAAAAGAGAGGCCACAGTAGTATGTATACAGGGATGTAGATATGAAAATGAATTTGCTATGTTTAAGGAATTTTAAGTGTTTAAGACTTGTTTGGAATGAATAGTGTTTTGATAAGAAAGTATATGAAAATCAGGATGACATAATCGGAGTATAGGCATTATAGCATTAGAAGCCTGGGAGTTCCTTAGAAAGATAATGTTATTCCAAAGTGAGGGTAAGGGTTTTATGGGGGCTGGATGTGTCTAGCAACAGCTGGAGTTAGGCAGAAGGATAGGAAGCACTTAGTAAAAGCTGAGGCAAGGAAGGATTCCTAGGGGGTATGGAGCTAGGATATGTACTGTGTCTGGTGACTTGGAACCTGATTGAATAGAGGTGAGAAATGGGAAGAGCTGAAGGGTTCTTTGGTGATTTCTTGCCTGGGAGCTGGTCTTTATTTTACAGCATTTGCTTTGGTTACTTTGGATTATTTTATAGAAGATAAATTTAGTTTTTATGCACTGACAATTTTGTTTACCCTCAATTTCAGGTAGATCTTTTGCGAGCAGGAGAAGTTCCTAAACCTTTTCCAACACATTATAAAGATTCGTGGGATAACAAGCATGTTAAAATGCCTTGTTCAGAACAAAATTTGTACCCAGTAGAAGATGAGGTAAGAACAAAACCGAGATTCTTTTAGTCTCTGAAAAATGGTTTGGTACTTGCTTGTTTGACCTTTGATTCTGTGATGTAAAAGAACTTAGAATAACTTCCTCATGTGTTTTTCTTTTTTCCAAAAGAATGGTGAGCGAACTGCGGGGAGCCGGTGGGAGCTCATTCAGACTGCACTTCTCAACAAATTTACACGACCCCAAAACTTGAAGGTATATTGTTTTTACCATTCTTGCCTCTTTATGGGCCCTGCCTCTCCTCTTTCAAAGACTTTTTGTTCTTAATAGATTCAGGTAGCAACATTCTTTAGATGCAAAGTGCTTGCTTCCTGGCACTAAGGAAGGCTCCTTAGAGACATTCTACTAGGAAATGAGAAGAACTGAGAGTTGAAAATGACTTGCCTGGAGCCACACAGAATAATTTGGAGAACCAAGAGTAATACCTCTGTTTCTTGATTCCCCATCCAATTTCCTTCAGTCCAAGCTTCTCTTTTATTTTTTGTTTTAAAATTATCGTGTTTCTGAAATATCTTTAAAAGTAAATCAGGAAAGAATTATGACTTCAGCAATATTTGCCCAAAGGGAAGCTGAGTTTCCTAAAGTATACGTTAAGCTTTCTGGTTTTTATTGCTCTTAATGTAGCTCCTAGCAGTTTAATAATTTATTAATCTTATATTTTGGCAATAATTTATTTTTGTTATATTTCATTTAAGACTGCAAGGGTAACCATTAGATTGTTTTTCTAATATCTAAAATATGCGTGTATATATATATTTATATTGAGGGGCACTATAGCCATGAAAATTTTAATGTTTTTATAAATATAGACAGTGATAGAATTTTTTATACGTCCATGAAAATGGGTTTTATTTTCTTTCCGAGACTTAATTTGTTGTGTATAGTTTCTCAGATTTCTTAATATTTTCTACTGAGACTTGTGTAGCAGGGTGAGCCACAGACAGAACCTCTCAGACACCAAGTTGTAGAGGGAAGGGCTTTATCCAGCTGGGAGCATCGGCAAGCTACTGCCTTAAAATCCAAGCTCTCCGAGTGCACAATTTATGTCCCTTTTAAGGGCTCACAACACTAAAGATTTCACATGAAAGGGTCGTGATTGATTTGAGCAAGCGGAGGGTATGTGATGGGGCTGCATGCACTGGTGGTCAGACAGAAACAGAACAGGGCAGGGAGTTTCATAGTATTCTTCTGTACAATATCAGGAACATCAGTTTCTAAGTCATGAGTTGATTTTTAACTACTGAGTTTAGGCCAGGCAGACCCAGGCCTGGTTCTGGGCCTGGTGTCGGGCTGCCTGTCTTTGGTTTTACTTCATTGTTTTTTCTTAAAACAGGTGCTGAATATAAAACAACATAAAACAATATGAGAGGGTCTGTCTCTTTCCTCATTTCCCCCCTTTGGAGACTCACACTTTTTATTAGTGGGAGTTCTTACTCTTATTTTTGCTACTCATGTCTTTTTGTGCAGTAGATTGATAGTGATTCGTATAGTACACTTGTGCTGAAGCATTTTGTTGAACTGAGGTAGCAATGAAGCTTTTTTATCATTTGAAGAAATACAGGTAGCAAACAAAGGAGCAGTAGGCAGGTTTTTATTACTATTATAACTTTTATTATGACTTTTAAATTCTCTTAGTGCTGGGAACTAATTTTTAAGCATGGCTCTCAGATTAAGTCCGTGCCACACTTGCACAGGTACATGTACCAGTTTTGTCATATGTTAAACTATGTCTTTAACTACTTGCCTTTGGTTATCTATGTGTAGACAGTAATTAGTAAGGTTACATTTCTTATAGACCCTTTTTTAGTTGCTAGCAAGTAGTCGGGAGCCAATCTATTTTGATAGATAGCAATTTTTATCTGAGTGTTTTGTTTGTTTGTTTGTTTTTTGCCAGGCCATAATAGTCAAGCCTTGACCAGTTTTATTAGTAGTAATTTCTAAAACAGCTTGTAACCGTATAATTCAGTTGAGCATGTAAATGGGGGTCCGATATCCCCATGAGCCATCTTGTGCCCGAGCGGCGGGTCCATAGTATTGTGTGATTTTTTCAGGGGCCATTCATCATCTTTTTAATTACTTATGGCTATGCTTCGTTTTTCACGGGAAGCATAGACTGGGAAGCCCAGAAGTTCACCTGTTTTTATGGGCAGTAAGAAGAAAGGTGGTTTAATAGTGCCAATAACATAACCACCTGTCCACTGGTCAGGCAGCCTAGCGTAGGCTCTATGTCTACCTATCCAGTATAACCTGGTGGGGGCAGTCTAGTCCTGGTGGAATTCTGGGTGGGCCCAGACAGTCTGCAATCTTGGAAATTTACTGAATGGATTTCTTTTTGCATAATTGGAACTCCATCATGTAACTGTTTTTGCGGTACTATTGTACAGCTTTTGCCCAAGACAACTAAGCCGCCCTACAGGATGAGTGAATTCTTTTTCTTCTCTAGCTATGCAATACTGTCTAATAATTGAGACTTTTAGAACCCAAAAATTGTCAGGATGGTTCTTTTGGGCCGGGAATTCATCAGGAGCTGGGTCCGTAGGAACTAATTCTCGGGCGTCCCGTGGTCATTGATCTCCTGTTAGGCTTCCTCCACAAACATAACATGAAGTGACTTTTAGAGGCTGGGCTACATGTTTGGCTAATTGCAAAAACAAATTCTTAGTTTTTCCTGGAATCTCAGATACTGGCACATTTTATTCATCATAGAAAGTCTGAAATACTGGTTCTAGAGAGTCTCATTGAACCTCTCCTTTTATTAGGATGCTTACGCTAGGATCTAGTCCTTTTTCATTAATGTCTAATGTTACTTTTTTTTTTTTTTCATTTTGGGTCTGAGGGGTTTGTGATTACCAATTCCAAAGGGTTGTAGCTCCCACTCATGCAGGAGGGGCTGACTTTTCCTTTTTGGAGCCAAACAGGATCTTGTTAATTTTTTTTTCAAGTAGCCCAAATGACATAAGACCAGTATTGACACATTTTACATAAATACAATTCTTGACAGATATACTTATTTTCTGCTGTGTAACTTTTCTTTCCCAATCTAGAGAACCGCATCCCATCCCATTCTGCTTATTATTCATAGCGGCACAGGTGTCAAAATTTTTTTTGTTTTTTTTTTGAGACGGAGTCTCGCTCTGTCCCCCAGGCTGGAGTGCAGTGGTGCGATCTCGGCTCACTGCAAGCTTCGCCTCCTGGGTTCACGCCATTCTCCTGCCTCAGCCTCCCGAGTAGCTGGGATTACAGGCGCCTGCCACCGCGCCCGGCTAATTTTTTGTATTTTTAGTAGAGACGGGGTTTCATCGTGGTCTCGATCTCCTGACCTTGTGATCTGCCTTCCTCGGCCTCCCAAAGTGCTGGGATTACAGGCGTGAGCCACCGCACCGGGCCAGGCCTCAAATTTTAAGGTTACATTTTTGGCGACCCCCCTTTTTTTTTTTAAGCTATTACTTTACCTGTGTCACTTAGAAAAGGACCACTCCTTAATTTTATTTTGAAAACTGTGATTATGAGAGGTTCAGAGGGGTCATAGCACACATCGGGCTGGTCACTTCCTGGATTACATACTTTGTACTGGGTGTCATTATATAAACAAGTTTCTTTTAGAGTCCTTGTACACTTATAATAACCATAAAATAATAGGACTGGCCAGGCGCGGTGGATCAAGACTGTAATGCCAGCACTTTGGGAGGCTGAGATGGGCGGATCACGAGGTCAGGAGATCGAGACCATCCTGGCTAACACGGTGAAATCCCGTCTCTCCTAAAAAAATACAAAAAACTAGCCGGGCGAGGTGGCAGGCGCCTGTAGTCCCAGCTACTCGGGAGGCTGAAGCAGGAGAATGGCGTAAACCCGGGAGGCGGAGCTTGCAGCGAGCTGAGATCCGGCCACGGCACTCCAGCCTGGGCGATAGAGCGAGACTCTGTCTCAAAAAAATAAAAAAATAAAATAATAGGACTGTAGCAGTCTTGTGTCCTACCTCAGTAACTTGATGTCTGTATACTGGGAACAGCCCTCAGTCTGAGGAAGGTCAGTTGAAGTCCTTACTGTACAAGTCCAAATTTTAAGGAAAATGAGTCCCACGATGAATTTCCTTGTGTTTCGGCCATGCGTGGACCAGTCAGCTTCCGGGTGTGACTGGAGCAGGGCTTATCATCTTTTTCAGAGTCACTTTGCAGGGCTTGGCAAAACTGCTCCCATCCATGTACAGCTGCCAGTCTACTGGATGTTTAAAGATGGTCTCGGAGATTGGGCCCACTAGGATAAACTGAGTCCAATACTTTTACACAATTATGTTTAACTGGGCTCTCTGATACCAGGAGCAAAGTGGCGGGGTTTAGGGTGTTGCAAACTTCGATGATTATGCGGGGATTTTTACAGAGCAAGCTTTGGTATCTAGTTAGTCTGGCATTTATTAGCTAATGGTGTCCTTTGGTATTTATTAAAATTACCACAGCATGGGGGGACTTTAGGTTTTGCCTAAGAGTTAGCTTATCTGCTTCTTGTGCTGACAGGGCCGTTGCTGCCAGGGCTCTTGGACACGGGGGCCAGCCTTCGGAAACCCCGTCTAGTTGTTTTGAGAGATAGGCCACTGGCCTTGGCCAGGGCCCTACAGTCTGGGTTAAAACTCCAACTGCCATTTCCCCACCACACACACACATAGAGTGTAGAGAGTTTTGTCAGGTCAGGTAGCCTCAGGGCTGCATCCGACATGAGTTTTTCTTTTTAACTCATGAAAAACTCATGAGAAAAACTCTTTTTAACTCATGAAAAACTCATTGTTGGTTGTAATAGATGTAGTTTATCTAATCTACATTTTTATTGACTGTCATTTACCAAAATATTGACTTAAATCCTGTAACTATTTGATTTCAAGCTTTAAATTGATCTGGTATTTCTTGCGGGGTTCCAATTGCATTTAAATAGATGTGAGAGTTGTAAGATCTATAAGGAGCTTCTCTCAACTTTACAATGTATTATTATTATTATTTTTTCTCTTGTTGATGAAACGCCAGGGTGAAAGGGATAGCCAAATGAACTAATGCACAAATGCCACTCTAATTATTTGGCAGAGTGCCCAGTAAAGGTCCACCACACTATCACCACACATCCGCTCAGGGATGAACAAGGGCTGACTGATAAGCTCTTGAAAATTCTTAAGCTCACTGCATCCCTTCAAGTCTCCAAGTAATGCTAAG